TTTTATTCTCAGAATTTCACGACGACGGAAAATGAAATTCCATAACGTAAAGACGGTGGTTGATACGTGAGCTTATCTTCGCGCAAGGCTTTCAATTGGATTAGGTATCTTCTGGTGGAATATGTTAATCAAAGCTGAAACTAAGAACTTTGCTATCCTTTATTAATCATAATTAGTAAAGACCAAGATCAACGTAACCAGTGGACCTAAGTTAAATATTGATGCGGTAATCAATCAATCAAAGCGATAAAAGAAGGTTTTTTTTAAATAATTCTCGGATCGGAATCCACAACATTTACACTTTCCAAATAATGCAAGACACACGATTATTAGTTAAATGGGAGTCTGCACATGCTTATTATGGTACCAAAAATCAAGTTATCAGTAGCATGCATACAAGAAAACGACAGGTTAGGGGTTTTACGATAATTTTTAACGTTATTTCACAGAGAGGTTACTACCTATAAGACAATAATTCAACATTGATATCTTGACTGTTGAAAAAATAGGTATAGTTCATTGATTTTTTTTTCTAACAAACACTTCGTAGGCGGTAGGAGTATTTGCTTCTGCGAATTGAAAAGGAGTGGCGGCGCCTGCAGTAGTGCTTCTAAGAGCGAATGCACTTGTGACAACTGAAGAGCAGTGGGCAGAAAAATATGAGTGGTCCATCTCGACTCGCCCGGGAGCAGTCACGATCCTATAGCCTGTATCAACCCTTGTCTGAACCGCACGGCTATTACTAAAAATAACATCAAAAAAAAAACCGGCGAATTGTCATCTTGCAGTCTAGGTAGTTTTTAGTGTGCAAATATGTAGTTCATTCCAGGTTTGCTTGCGTACATCTACAAAACGAGTTAAAAAAGTGTACTAAGTTAACATCTTGTAGAAAACCCTATGAAATGTCAAAAAAACCTACGAAATGTCAAAAAAGAACCGACGAAATGTCACTTTTCAAGATACGTAATACCCGTGCCGTTGTAGATACCACGAAATCGATAGGCATAACATTTCACAGGTTAGTATAATGCAAAGACGAGACGCAGGAACCAAACTGAGGCCTTTCTTAACTGTCAAACTGCTACTAATGTAGAAAGAATGTGAAACTTGAATCATGCCTGTGTCGACGTTTTGTATGGCCAAGAGAGATTCTAATAGCGCCTCTCTAGGTACTATCTCGATGGATACCTCTTATATCATTTGAATGTACCTTTATAAGCAACTTGGTATTTTCCCATATTATTTCAATATTCGAAAGCAACTAAATAATATAATCTTTACAAAGCTGAACTTGTTAAACTATCTGGCTCGAAAATTAGTAAATCCGTTGTTTCCGTCATACTTGGCATTTTTTGAAGCTGATAAGCGTGTTAAGAACGTTGATTTGCGAAAAATGTCTCTTCTAAGCAACACAATGTATATTAATATTATTGTTTGCGTATGTTCTGGATAATATCGGCTTCACTAAACAAAAGATAAGATACTTCTTATATCTGCTATTAAATATTCAGTTTTCCAGAAAATTTTATCAATCCATGAACATTTGCAGAGATGCATTAGATGTGAAAATCAAACTAAGAAACATCGAAATTGTGTTGATTAATAAATGTAATGCAACTGTGAACATATGACAGATGATCTTTTCAGAATAAAATTATCAATAGACTGTTTAAGAAAAACATTGTATTACCTAAAGGCAATAGAGATTACCTATACACAGTTTTAAAAGTCAGAACATCTTTCCTGGTGTCTGATCTCAAATTGTCAATACTTCCATACTTTTCTGCCTATGGATTACCAAATTACAGCTTTTTGAGAACAGACCATTTACTTACCTAGATTAAGGTAGACATGAATAACATTTCAAGCGAGAGACGAAAAAACGACATACATTAGAGAAAGTCATATGGTTTGGAAATGCTCATGTACTTTCAAGTGTTAACTATTTATTTAAAGTTATATTTTTAATTTTTGATCTAAGCTAAGCTGTCAACAACTTATCTCTTTTGTTACGCAAGCTAAATAATCACCAGATATACAGGGTGACGAAAAAAAGATGCGGAACTGGTGGGGGGGGGGGGAGATAGTACAAGCCAATCCGAGTCAATTTTACTATAGGAACTACTGTCCGAAAATTAGCCGTTTTCGAATCATACTAATTTTCAAGATTTTATAAAATTAACGTCCTTTATAGATTAACCAAGTCATAAAACTTGAAAATTGGGTGTTTCATTTGATTTTCTTTTAGTTTTCTAATAAAAATATTCTAAAATACGAAAATTGATACTCAAATGTACATTATTGACATTATCTCATGCAGTAAGCTTCAAAGTAGTTCGATTTTTGTTAAAAAAAATTTTCGTTCATCTCAAAAACTCAATTTACTAGAAACAATCACCTAAAAATTTTTCGTGCAAAACAATTTTAAAATATCTACGTTTCATTACCTTTCAAATGAGGTATCAAAGTCACAAACCGGTTTAGAAATGACAAAGATATTAGTGAAAGAAACAGGTAGAGCCGCGAACATCGGACTTCAATCTGCTCTTGAGATTTGTTGCGTTCGGATGTGTTTGTTTGCTCGCTGTTTTGATATTTCTAACGACTTGGCTCTTGTTGGACTTCCGTTTGTGATTCTTTTCCTGACGACCTAGACTATACCCTGTTTTCTGCGATTCCTTACGACTTGGCTGCTATGTGACTTGATCGTTGCGGCCGTTCAGTTTCGAAGAATATGCCGATATCGTTTTCTACTATGGAGATGCCAGAGGCAATGCTGAAGTAGCTCGTCGTGAGTATGGGGAAATGTTTCCTAATCGTCGCCTACCTGACGCCCGCGTATTTTGGCAAACGCAAACGTTCGGTCGGGTTCGAGAGCGCGGTACCGTCGTAAGATATCAAGGTAAGTTTGCATCATTGATAATAATTATTAACTTATCATAATCAGTCATTCAGTAAGGCCTATGTAGAGCCTTGGAGGTATGTGGGCTGAACTAATGATACTGTAACATAGTTGTTTTGATACAGTTGATTGAACTTCTTAATTAAGAGTTTATTCATTTAGCTCATAGTCTTACCACTATGTTTATTAGGTAACAATTTCCTCCAAAAAACTGTTGTTATTTGTTTTTTCATTTTATTTCAGGTGATGCAGGTAGATCTCGACATGATGTGGAAGAAGAAGAAATATTAAATATTTTCCAAAGAGACTCTACTCTCTCTACTCGCGCTGTGGCTCGACGGCTTGGATTATCCCAATGGCAAGTGTGGTATGTATGTTTTGCATGAAAACATATTCCACCCTTACTACTACACACCTGTGCACGTCATAGATGAAGGAGATCCCATGAGGCGCATGCAATTTGGTCGTTTTATTTTAAACGCTGATGTTGAAGATAGCAATTATTTAAGAAAAATTCTATGGACCGAAGAATCAAAATTTGATAAAGAGGGCATATCAAACTACCATAACGCTCACTATTGGCGTGAACATGCAGTGGGAAATCCTCATATGAAGAGACCAAAAGGATCTCAAAGGCGATTTTGTCTGAATGTCTGGATGGGCATTATAAATTACTGTTTGGTAGGACCACAATTCCTACCCGACAACTTAAATGGAGAAGTCTACGAAAATTTCTTAAGAAATGTTCTATTTGAATTACTTGAAGACGTGCCGCTACAGACAAGACCCAGAATGATTTTTCAGCATGACGGGTGCCCAGCACATTTCAGACTAAGTGTTAGAAATTGGTTAAATGAGCAGTTTCCGAATCGATGGATCGGTAGAGGCGGACCAATCCCATGGCCAGCACGCAGTCCCGATCTCACACTTATGGAATTTTTTGTGTGGGGTCGCATGAAAACTTTAGTATACTCTGATCAAAATCCTGTACACACAATAGAAGACCTCAGAAACAGTATAATACATGCAGCACAAGAATTTCAAGCCTCTCTTAGGAATTCGGCGGTAGTAAAATCAGCCGTCATAAGAAGAGCACGTGTGTGCATTTAAAATAGACCGCGCCATATTTAAAATGTATTATAAAAATAAAAAATGTAGTTTCAACCAAATTATCCTGTATTAAGGTATAATTTTGTAAGTGTAGTATTTTTATTGCTTTTCCTTCCTCCTCTTATGATAGACATATTTTTGCCAATTCTTAATCGATTTGTGATTTTTATACCTCATTTGAAAGGCAATGAAACGTAGATGTTTTCTAATTATTTTGTACGAAAAATTTGTATGCGACTTTTTCTAGTAAACTGAAGCTCTTGAGATCAACGAAGATTTTTGTAACAAAAATCGAACCATTCTGAAGCTTACTGCATGATATAACGTAAATAATGTACATTTGAGTATCAATTTTCGTATTTTAGAATATTTTTATTGTAAAACAAAAAAAATCAAATGAAACACCCAATTTTCAAGTTTTATGACTTAGTTAACGTATAAAGGTCGTTAATTTTGTACAATCTTAAAAATTAGTATAATTCGAAAACGGTTAATTTTCGGACAGTAGTTCCTATAGTAAAATCGACTCAGATTGGCTTGTACTATCTCCCCCCACCCGCTCCGCATCTACTTTCCCGTCACCATATACTTTGACAAGTCTCAATAAAAAATAATCAGTAAATACATTTTGCGTTAGTGAATCTAAAATACAGTTTTTTCGTAGATATTCGGTAGCAAAATTCTGTAACTTATAGCTAACAACCGTCAGAGCTCACTCTTAGCTCCATTTAACTCTGGCACCGTAGTCATAAGTCAGCTAGATTATCAATATGCTGAGGAACAGCTGTACACAGATAAGAAAAAGTCCGACTGAGGTATCTGCGTGTCCCTAGGCCGTAAAACAAACCGTCTTGTAGTAAAAAAGTTAGGAACGATTTTAATTGTTTGTTTTCATTTTTACCCCAGGGTGCGGTTCTAGGAATAAAATATATCGTATGAATAGAATAGTAAATATTATCACCATCATAGTGTGTTTGTAGATACTAACTTTAGCTGGCCACGTTGGAAAATTCAGACAATTGAAGGCTATTTCCAAGACTGAAACAGTTTCAACGCTGTCCTTCCACGTCAGGCTAAATCCCTTGATCAACTCCACGATAGCCGTTAGTAACAGAACCAGGAATGATACTGCTTCGCCTGTCAATGGCACCATCTGCGGCTTTTCCTTTACCACATCCGTGACGTCCCTTCAGAGCAAATTGGTTTTTTGATTTAACATTTCCTATATCAATTTGAGAGGTGTTCAGTAGCATATAATGAAGCGGTTATTTATCTAGTACGAGTATGTGACGAAAGTACAAGAGAAAGTAACATTTCGCCTCAATCTACGATGTTGTACGAGGGTGAAAAAGCATAGTAAAGACTGACTGAATACAAAAATGAGATTTATCCATTTATAAAATATTGTCGATTCCGGAATCCATGTACCACTGCATATCCATCGTATGATAACAGTTTCTTATATACCAATATTCATAATTTGATTGATTTTATGTTGAAAGTATAAGCTGATGAATTAGCATCTGTTAGCATATAATGTACAGTAATGGACAAAAGTATATAGACAAATATGAATATTTAACTAAATACCTTTAGAAAACGAATTCATACTGTATTGCTCCATAAACAAATGCGTTATTAGTAGAAAAACTAAATTCCTTGTTTTTACATTACCTGCAATGAACACAATGCAAGTCTGAATATAAGCACTTCTTTATGAGGAACAAAAATATGTAGACAAATTCTGTTCAACATTAGTTTAGTACAGTTTCCTGTCAGAAGAGGATTAGTTTGTGTTCATCAAGTATTGTGGAATAAGTTGAGTGATTTTAAAACCATGCCGCGTGGTCCAGAAATTTCTTTCGATGTGAAAACTAATATCATTGAGTTATACAAAGATGGACAACGTCAAGTCGACATTGCCAAAAATTTGAAGCTGAAGCGTAAAGCAGTTTGGGCAATACTGAACAAATATAAACAAAAAGATATCTTGGAAGCCTCTAAGAGAAGTGCTCGGCCTAGAAAACTAAATGCTAGATCAGTTAGATCATTGATTCCCAAAGTGGTCTATATCGACCCCTAGGGGTCTATGACAACCTGCAAGGGGTCTACGTCAACGAAAAAAAATTTGGGGGTCCATGAAATGAATATGGGGGTCCACGATAGTGGATCTCAACACATACACTGATAGTACCTAGTTACTTACATCATACTATCTTATAATATCAAAACATATACATTATTTATAAAAGTGCCTATGAGGTAAAAAATGTATTATATATGTTTATAAAATTGTGTAAGTTGTAGGATGTTGGTATTCGCTTTGTGGTCGCAATACATTTTGAACTTGTAAAAACCTGAGAGTCGCAGTCTCAGAGCTTCGCTACCTTGCACTGACTTGTTCAATTCGTCACTCTATAAATACGAATGTGGGACAAATACGTTTATTCGTTTCCTGAATCTTGAAAAGGAAAGCGCTAAGAAAATATTTTAAAAAATATAAACAGATAGTATATCACACAAATTATAGTGAGTCAGTGTTATTTTGTTTGAGAGTGCTGGAGAAAAGTAAGTACATTATTTTTTATTAAATTTTAGTTTTGTACTCGTAGTTAGCAAAGATAGATAAATTACGCCAATTATGACTTTAGTTATTAGTAGTTAAATATGCAATCATGCAAAATTACACGAGTACTCCTCAATAGTTTCTTTTTGAAAGTTTTAGCAATCGGTAATATAATTGCAGTGCAATCAACGTAATTCGAGCTAATTGTTGCAAGAAGATGTTCGAATTATGGAATTTTTTCCGAAAAATCAAAAAATATTTTTAATATACAGCTGCTGGATTTTCTGTCTTTAAATAATTTAATTGGGCCCACAGATGACTGATGCCATGTCCGAATCTAAAAAGAAATGTAGACATTAGAGTGTTGATTATTTGAAATTTGGCTTCATTCCATCATTGCCGGACAAACAATCGCCTATGTGCCTTTTATGCAACAAAGTTTTGGGCAATGACGCTATGAAAAAAACTAAACTGCAAGATCATCTGAGAAGATGCCACCCTGATAAAACAGAGAAAGATTTGAAATACTTTCAAACACTCAAAGATAAATTTCAGAAGAGACCTACACTGGACAGAATGTTCGCTTCGACGACGTCACAAAGAAATGATGATGGTTTGCGGGCGTCTTACAATATCTCGTTACTTATAGCAAAATCCGGAAAACCGCATACTATCGGAGAGAAATTAATTTTGCCAGCCGTTGAAGCGGTTTTAAAAACTGTTTTACACAAACCTGCATCTGATATCATTAAAAGAATTCCCTTAAGCAACAATACTGTTGAAAGACGTATTGATGAAATGAGTTCTGATATTGAAAGCTTCTTATGTAATTATTTGCAAACGACCCATTTGTCTATACAACTGGGCGAGTCAACTTTACCTGATAATGCAACATTATTATTGGCATATGTTCGTTTTATTATGAATCAAGAAATCTACGAAGAACTGCTCTTCGAAAGAACTTTGATAACCGACACTAAAGGTGAATCAATATTTCATGTTTTAAAGGATTACTTCATTGAAAAAGCAATTCCTTTATCAAATATAATATCAGTAGCTACAGATGGAGCACCTGCCATGGTTGGACGTTATCGTGGATTTATAAGCTATTTAAAACAAAATGTGTCAGGGGTGTTAGCAATACATTGCGTCATCCATCGACAACATTTAGTTGCTAAAAATTTGAGTGTTAGATTGCATGAATCACTTCATTTAGTCATTGATGCAGTAAACCGAATCCGAAGCAACGCGTTGAATACGCGGTTATTTGCGCAGTTGTGTGAAGAAAATGACGAACACTTTCATCAATTACTCCTTCACACTGAAGTACGCTGGCTGTCGAAAGGCTTATGTTTGACAAGATTGTTTGCACTTTTTGAGACTATTTTAGAATTTCTGAATACTAAAGATAAAATTTTAAAAGAAAATTTAATGCAGAGGACATCGCCTATTTAACAGATTTGTTTACAAAATTTAATATGGTTAATTTGCAATTACAAGGCGACAGTTTAAATTTGATTAAAACAAAGTCCATCAGCGTTTCTTGCCAGAGTTAAACTAATGAAGCAAAATATTGGACGGGGCGAATTTTCTCAGTTCCCCAATTTGTCACAGACCAGCTGCCAGGAAGACGACTTTTCAACTTACGTTCAACATTTAAATGCCCTCTATACAGATTTTGAATCTAGGTTTGAGGATATTTTGACTATGGTAATACCACCGTGGATAATTAATCCATATGGTGACATAGAAGAAACGAATGTCATAATACAAGAGGAACTAACTGAACTAAGTACAAACGAAGAACTTAAGGTTCAGTTTAAAAACGGATATCAGCAATTCTGGCTGCAAAACAACATACCCGTTACTTATCTCCTATTATGGAATATAGCGAGGAAATTTTTAATTTCCTTTCCATCGTCATACCTAGTGGAAAGGGGGTTCAGCGCTGTTACCAATCTCCTAACGAAAAAAAGTAACAGACTGGACATCATTAGCCGAGGAGATTTAAGATTAACCCTTACAAAATTGACGCCAAATGTTGATAATTTATTATTAAAGCATCAGGTTCTTCTCACTAAAAATATTGACTTATTGCTTATGTTATTTTATTTATAGTTTATTTTATGTTTATTGGTGTTTGATCAATAAATGCCCGCATTGGGAATTAGTGCCCGCATTGATTTTTTTAAAGAACCCCCCTTTATAGAATATATATATATATATATAAATCAATATCAGGTAAGTAGGGGGTCTACCCAACACGAAAAAACATGGCAAGGGGTCTACGACACAAAAAAGTTTGGGGAACTCTGAGTTAGATTAATAAAAGTAGTTACGTCCGAAGATCCGTTTAAAACCCCAAGACAAATAAAAGCCGAAATCGAGACAAAAGGAATTGTCAGTGTTTCTACGAAAACTATAGTGTAAGATTAAATGATTTGAAGTTATTTGCACGTCGCCTGTGTAAGAAGCCGCTACTCTCGAGGAAAAACCGTAAGGACCGATTACAATTTGCACGGTTGCATCTTGATTGGAGCATCTGTGACTGGAAGAGGGTATGTTTCAGTGACGACGTCTTAGTGGACAATGATTGAACCCCAAGTACACTTTGCCCAGTGACAAACGTGGAGGCGGGTCTGTTATGGTTTGGGGGTGCTTTTCGGGGTTTGGGATGGGACCTTTACATAGAATAGATGGCATTATGGATAAGTTTGTATACACAGACATACTAAAGCATGTCATGTTACCTAACATGGAAGACAATATGCCCTTAAGATCAATCTTCCAGCAAGATAATGACCCGAAGCACACTTCAAATCTCGCAAAGAAATCCTTTCTGGATAAAAAAATACCAGTTCTCAAATGGCCTTCACAGTCTCCCGATATAAACCCCATCGAAAATCTATGGGAATACTTAGATAAGCAAATACGAGATAAAAATTATTCAAACAAGGATGATCTTTTTGCCGCTTTAGAGCAAAAGTGGAGACAGATTGATGAATCTTATATCAAGAAACTTCTACAATCTATGCCGAGACGATGCCAGGCGGTGATTGGTAATGGTTATGCTACAAAATATTAACACAAACATGGTTGGTTTTCTATAATTCAATGAACTTTGCTTCTTTTTTCTATAATTGTTTTGCTTTGTCTATATATTTTTGTCCTTCATAGTTTCCAGTTTTTTTCAATGAATTTATTTATGTATAAGTGAGTTAGTTATGCTATAACGAATTATGTATACAGGTTGGTGTATTAATAAAACAAGTTTAAATAAGAAATACAGCACAATATTAATTTGTTTGTATACTTTTTTCCATTACTGTATGTTTCATAGTACATGGGATCCTAAGCTAAGAATAAACCATTATGCTGTAAAATGAAATCGCTACTGAAAACCATCATCTGATAGTCCACTTTACCTCAGTGTGTAAAGCAACATCTGGAATGCTGTATTCGCCACATCTCTGCTATAATGCTGCTTGGAATGTAAAAAATACTTCAGTCCCATCGAAGCATCGCTGAACGAAGTCTGATTTGGGAAACGGGCCTTCCACTTATAAACCACCCTGAAGGTGTTTGGAAGCGAGTTTTTTATTATCTTAGTGAAAAACATATCCCTTATGTCATCGTTGCCGGAGAGATTATCCGGATTTGGATTGATCAGCCTCATGCTGATCATTGCTACCGGCAACAGCTGTAGAATCATCAATTGATTTTCGAACTGCATTGGTATAGATCCATTGCTTTCACCCGGCGTCATCTTGTCTCTTATATGACTCCAGTAGCGTAGACTATTGCCCAAAAAACAAAGCATCTGGGGGTTTGATAAAGACTCGGCAAACTTTTCAGTTATTCCACAATACTTCATCGATGGTTGACTGATTTTCTGGATATCAAGAGGTTCTTGGAGGCCACCAAATTTAAACAACAGTTCGAAGAATCCAATCAAATGCAAGATGCTATATACATTAAAAAACACGTTTTTATTCTGCGTACTCTTCATTTCAGCCAAATGCCTTTCCACGTTGAACTTAGCTAGAATTTTTTTCGTTACTACACAATTCACTGTAGCTCTTTGTAAAAGCAACTCTAAAATATTTGATATGAGCTGCAGTGAAGGTTTCAGAGACATATAGTACGATTCTTCATCTATCCCAGTTTTCTCTACCTTCAAAGGTATGAGTATTAGGTACATTATATTTGAGCAGAAAGCTTCGTTCATATCGATCGATTTTTCAAGTAGTCTCGTTAAAAACAAGCAAGCTTCTTTGGAAATGTACACTGTAGGACAATTCAAAGCTGTCGTCAGTACATCATTCCAACTATTAGTAGAAATAACCCACTGTAATCCAGATTTATGCTCCAGAAATGCTGTCAACAATTTTATTTTCGCTAATTTGACACTGGGACTGTTGAATTTGTTCGCAATCGCAGCTAGCCTTTCAAACACGTTCTCACAATTGAGTCGGACGAAGGTCTGTTCATTGGTACAAATGAAAGCTGCTAGATGCAAACCAAACGTGAGGAAATTCTGTCTGGGTAGTGAAACCATATCCCATTTTTCGATCGCTGCTTTCAACCACGACACGTAATAAGATCGGTTCTCTTTGTCGATGGATTTTGAATCTGCAATAGTCAGTTGTACAAAAGGGTTACAAGACGATGTATAAGCGCATTTAAATCTGAGCTACTTCGTTTAAAATGTATGTATAAATGGTGACATGGTGTGCATTAAAACAGACCAATTTCTTTGTATCAATTTTTTACAGCTTTTATATACACAGCAAGTGCAAGAAATATGTGCGGGTATATGTAAAGTGCAAATATCTTAATAAACCTTAATAAATAATGATTTAATGCAGGCTGCTGGCACTGTGTTAAATGCACTTGCAAACATACCAGATACAAAAAACTGAATATAATCATAATTATCTAGGCATATGTTTCGCTATTTTACTAAACATCATGAATAAAAGACCGGAATAAGTGGAATGTATTCCTGTGCTCAAAAATGTTATCGTAACAAGTAAAAATGTTTAGTGTTTGTAATCCGACATTCCTCCTTAATGCAAAATGGCAGATTACCAACAACAGGACTAGTAGACAAAACCATACAATAATGGACTACTAATTTAGATCTACGTAGTCGTGCCATAAGTTCTGTCCCATGATAATCTCATGATAAAAATGAAACAAGATAAGATATATTTATATGAAAGATATTATTTATTCGACAACATTTTTAGAATTCATAATCAAACAGTTTTATTCAAAATGTCCCCCCTTGGCCTTCACACACTGCTTCAATCTCGCGGGCCACTCATCTATCACTGCACGCACAGCTTCCAAAGGAATAGCTGCCGCTGATCGGATCAAATCCGCTTTCAGGGACTCGATATTACGGTGGGCTTTGGAGCAGGCCAACTGCTCTAGCAGGTCCCACAACTTGTAGTCTAAAGGATTGAGGTCCGGACTCCCTGAGGGCCAATCTTCCGCAGCAATGAACTCTGGCACATTGCTTTCCAGCCAGCGCTGCGTACTCTTAGCCTTGTGAGCGGGGGCGGAATCCTGCTGGTAGACCCAGTGTTGGTTGGCAAACAATGTACCACTTAAAGGCTTGACGATAGGATCCAGTATGTCGCTCTGATAGTTTGCCGCTTTTGTTTTCACGCCCTGTTTACAGAAATGGAGCCGAGTGACCCCTTCGTAGGACACCCCCCACCAAACCATGACTGACGCAGGGTGGTGGCCTCTCTCAACTCTCGGAATGATCTCCGAAGCTTCCTGTGAACTCCTTGCATACACTTTGTCATTTTGTCGGTTGAATTTTTCTTCTATGGTGAAGATTTTCTCATCCGTGAACAAAATCTTTCGGAATCCCCCAGCTGCGTACCTCTCCAAGAGCTTCTTGGATCTTGTCGCCCTGATGTGTCGCAAGGTGGCCGTAAGTCGCTGGCCCGTACGTCTCCGGTAAGCCCCTAGCCCTAGGTCTTGTTTAATGATGCGCGACATCGTCCGGACAGGAATCTTCATTTCCCTGGATAGGATCTTCTGCTTCCGGAGTGGATTCCTTTGAATCCTGGCTTTTACGGCTTTGATGGCTGCTGGAGTCCTTACTTGACGAGGTCTTCCGCTTCTTGGCCTGTCATCAACAGAGGACGTCTCATTGTACCGCTGAATGGTCCTAGACACAAATTTACGCGATATTTGAAGGCCGCGTAAGAGTTCAAAAATCTGACTAGCACTGTGATTACACTTATGTAAAGCTATCACTGCAATACGGTTCTCTGCCTTGCCCCACTCCATCGTTATGCTTCGAGAGATCAATACAAACTGAGGTATATGTAATTACCCGAAAAGCGCTTAATCAACTGACACCACAATGTAAACAATCGGACAAGTATTAACAGGTCTACACTTGTTTGAAAACGAGGGACAGAACTTATGGCATGACTCCGTATATCACAAAGCAGAGAGTGATTATATGTTTTATTTGATATACGAGGATTGTCCGTAAAATAAGTTCCACGGAGGTTTTACATAAAGAAAAACAAATTTATTTGCCTCATAATTTCGAAAAGTTCAGAAAGTCTTGACAATATCTAATATATATATATACAGGGTGACTTCGAAGTTGAGTCATTTATTTTAACAGTGAATAGATCTGATCAAAAGAAATGTTTTTTTCCTTTACCATTTTTCTGGTAAAATTAAAGTAACAAAGTTATAGCCCTTTGGAAGTTTGAGTACCGCCCTGTCTCAATAATATCATGTGTTCGTGTTTGGCAACAACGGTTCATCGCATCGGAAACAAAAAAGCGAAAGAATTTGGAACGATGTTTTTACGATGACAATTCAGTTCAGTTATACATACAGTCAGTTTCAGTCGCGTGTGAATAGTGCGTGGCTCAAACGAAATAAAAAATGGCACATGTTTATGCGGATCGGTTTCCCAATCGAGTGCAACCAACCCCTCGTGCCTTTGTTAATGTAGTACAACGGGCTCGTGAATCAGGTGACTTAAGACCTCACAGGGGACCTCACGATCAAATACAGGTCCGCACTGAAATACTTGTCGGGAGGATTCTTTATAAAACAAGGTAAAATTTTTTTTTAATTTTTTTTTTATTTTTACACACATATTTTGGTTTATCTTCCTTCTACAATCATTATCTGAAAATTAATGACTCAACTTCAAAGTCACCCTGTATATATATATATATATATATATATATCCATTATCCTGCCAGAATTTTAAAGTAGTTACAGTATGTAGGGGCACACAAATCCACCTAGCAACTGAATCGGTAATGTAAAAAACCACTTAAGCCATATTATTACCCAACATGTTCACATTACATCCATGTAATTCAATACATTCCTTCCTGTTCAAATAACATCCCGTGATAGACGTGTAAATATAACATTTCAAAGTTATGAAACCACAGACGTACAAGTGAAGGTTTACTAAGGTTTATCAATATCATTTTGAATTGAATCAGTCAAAGACTACTCATGTCATAGTTTTTCCATATATTTTTCTGAAAGATTGGTCATGTTAATAAGTCAATGCTTAAGTGTAATTTAAATAATAAGAAATAAAAGATAGGATTAATATGATTGCTTTGGCTAAACAAATTATATAATACATACCACTACCCTTCTTCTAGCTAAAACAACATAAGAATTGTTTTTCAGCTCTGTTCTATTATTATTAATATTGATAAACTGTGGAGGTTATTCATCAAATATTACATTAAGCCTAAAAAGGTCCTTTAAAACTCGTTTATTTGTTAATGATTTCTGAAAAATTCAAACTACTCGTATATGATTTAAGAGGTTTTTGAAATGACTGATTCAATTATATAAACTATTTTTATTGAACTATGCTACATTTGCCAAAAAGGCTGTTACAAAAACATATTCCGATTATTGACCTGAATTTGTTAGAAATTTCAGAAGCCCATATTAATTTTGTTTTACATAAAAAAGCTGTGATATTCGTTAAAAGAGTGCAAAGCATTATTAATCCCAGAATAAGGCAAGCAACAAACACAACAAAAAATTAAGTTACAAGCACAATGGTGAATTTAGGATAGATGTATGGGGGCACCAAGAAAAAGTTTATTTGTAGTTGTAGTTAGTACCCATACCTTAACGGTCTCAAAAATAAAATGTTTTATTGTACTCATAACAAATCCACTGGGTTGCCTGTCTGCGTATCATCAGTCAGCCAGTAAATGAAAAATAATTAGAAATCAGGATGATTTTGCATCCATATTAGAGGCTTAAATCATTTATGGAGCTTTTCTAGATAGTGACAAATTATCCAAACATTCTGGATTCAAGATCAGAGTATAAACAGACCATATGGAGAAAATTGAGTTTAAACATTTTTTATTCGAACTTTTTACGTTATTGAAATTTTAAATATTTAGTTTATCTAGTTTGTTATTATTTTGTTTTCGCAACAAAGTAATCAAATAATGAAATAATCACTCCTTAAGGTTAGTTTAATGCAAAAAAGCAATTTTTGAAAAAATGTTACATGATCCACTTTTGTACCTCAGAACCAGACTAGATCAAGTCCATTTTTGTCAAAATTGAGTTTAATATTTTAAGCTTGGGATAATATTTCAAATACAATTATCTTAAAAATACTCATTTAGTCTTGACCTAGTCTGGCTCTGAGGTACAGACTTGTGCCTTCAATTATAAAAACTTCAATCAAGGTATGTAACCATTGTTACTGGCGATCTGTATTAGAGTCGATACTTTTTTCTATTAGCGAGCAAGTCATTTGATAGAACTCGTCTGCAGAACCTTGGCTTAATGTTCTTATCACTTGCTTTCGCATCAAATCACAAGAGTGTTTTTAATAGCTAAATAACCAGTGTAATCTGAATGAATATTTATCGACAAATTACAATGTTATGCCTGACACAAATATTAATGTTGGGCAACAGACATGTATCTACAAAGCTTCACATACACACTACTCGGGGAAGCAAATTGAGATTAATAATAAAATGGCTTTCAACTATGTTTTTTTAAAATTCAGTTGTAGACCTCAATGCATAGAGCAGAAGTATCCATGGACCCAAAATATTTCCAGCAGCAGTTTCCGAGATACAGGACCTCTGAGTCAGGCCTATCATCCTTTGGAAGTTTGATATTCATTTATGTTATTATCATTATCTCTACTGGCCGGTTCAACATTCCCATTCTGTTACAAGGTAGCATAAATGGAGTATTATTCCTAGACACCTACTTTTTTAAAAGATTATGGCAATACACTTAAAAAATAATCAGGATTATACAGTGTGTTAGACTAATGACCTGGAAAACAAAGTTGCCTTTTATATAATCTATAGTTTTTTACATACATAATCTGATCGACTGCATTTTTTGAGTAGTTGCTGAGTGAGTTGTTGCGTTTTGTCCAAAACAATGGAAGTATGACAGCTTGTAAATCAATATCTTTAATAACTAGTGGTAATAGTAGTTGTGGTAGGTGGGCAAAGCCTGGAAACCTTTGACCCTTTTTGTCGAATCTGTATTACCAATACTGTGCTACTCCACGAGCCATCTACTGATGGTAACTGATATAAAAAACCAGCTTCAAC